TAGCAAAACAAGTGATAAGAAACAAAACAGCATGGTTTTTGTTTCGTATTTTTTTTAATTCCATTATTATTTCAATTTCATTAATTTGCTTCACATTCATGTAAGTGGTGGTACAGAAGATTTTCATGCAGAAGCATGATAGCGCAAATTTTAAAAATTCCAAATTACTTTAATTTGGAAATTGGGAAATAATGATCAGGAATAATTAATTATTTATATACTTTTATATCATTCCTTTGTTTTCCTAATGTAAGCACTTAATATGCCTACAGTTCATTGATACTTGCTTTCAATTTTGTCTGTGTTAGCTGGAAGGCAAGTAACGATCCCTAGAGTCCTGCATGTTCTCCAAAAAGCATGGTATTGAAAAACACCTTTAAACTCAAAACAGCTCATCTAATTACAAACCTTTTACCTTTTCAATGTGAGTTTAGATTCTTCAAATGAACCTCCCCATATATTCTAAGCTACGTATGAAGTGCATTTTGCAAGATGGTTGGTTTTTCTTAACTTAGTCTTCAGTGCTGTTTGATACTTCAGCTTTTGAATCCTTTAAGCTAGCACATTCTGTGAAAATGCGTGTCACAGAATGCACTGGAGTTTGACCACAGGGAACTGCTTTGGACCCAGGAAAGGAAGCAGCTTTTGTTGAAAAGAGCCTAATTTCATTGTTGGACTGATGATTTCTGCTAATATCTGTGGCTGTTGAATCTAAGTGGTTTCTTACTGTTAAGATGCAAATGAATTAGATCCTCACAAATCCAAAACAGTGCCTTAAACTACAGCTTGAGGTTGACTGAAAGCTAGCCTAGTTCATGGAGCATGTGAATCGCCATGCTGAGTTGTAACAAAGACCTGTAGCTGCAGTTGAGCTTCCGAGAGAAAGTTGTGGTCTTCTACAAAAGTTCTAGTTTTTCTGTATCTGTCTACTGTATCCCTGTAGGATAGAAGTGGAATACTAGTATAGTATTGAAGAGTTCATCAAAGCTATAACAAAATCTCATTCCTTTTCCTGTTTATATTCAGCTTTTCTTTTAGCTTCCCAAGTAAATATCATCTTCCCTTGGGGATTTTGGGATTTTTTTTTTTCTCGATAGAAGTGGAATACTAGTATAGTATTGAAGAGTTCATCAAAGCTATAACAAAATCTCATTCCTTTTCCTGTTTATATTCAGCTTTTCTTTTAGCTTCCCAAGTAAATATCATCTTCCCTTGGGGATTTTGATTTTTTTTTTTTTTCTCACAAGCTGTATCTGGCATGCATCTCAGTGAGACGTACTTCCTCTGGGCCTCTGTTTCTTTTAATCAGGAGAGATGTAGGCTACGTGTCACTTGTTGCTGAAGGCTGTGCAGCTCCTCTTGCCAAACTTCTGAGCGTTTTTGAGCAGGATGGAGGACATGGTGAACTTCATGCTGATCCTTTTCCATAGCCTCAGCATGAAATAGATGAGTAACTGAGCACTGCTTTGTCTCCCTCCCTAGACTTGCACTGTCTGAGGACACCAGCGAGAAACTGTTGGTCACCAGGAAGTGCAGCATCCATACTGTAGACACTATTCGCCCTACGTTTTTGCCCAATGAAGCTCATGTAATATTGACTCTGCCCTCCAATAGCCTTCTGTCACTCTTTATAACACAACTAGAAAAGGGTCAACAATTGCAAGTATGTCGATGGCAGGAGATGACTGCTCAAGCAGGGTTCTGCAGTCTGCCTCAAGAAGCGAGCAACTTAGCATCCCTAAAGGACAACAGTCTGTCACAGATTATTAGATCATTAATATGTTGCCTTTTGAGAGGCAAACTGCTTTTACCTTTTCAGTTGGAAAAATACAGCTTTAGAAATAAATCTAGTTATTATACTCATTGTCTCCTGGTGTTTGTATTACAGGGATCTGATTTAAGGAAGGACAGAGAAGGACCTAGTGACAGATCCAGTTAAAAAGCAATACATACGGATCAAAGGAATACAGTTGTCATTGTGACATTTACTGCCACAGGGGTTAATCTGCAGCACCAGCAGTTAATTCAAAGTAGACCAGCCAAGGCTTTGACCATGTTATGTTTGTATAGTTCTGTATCAGGCAGTAGAAGGATGCTACATCTCGCTTAAGTGCAGACAAAAACATTCTTGAAGGTAAACTCCTAGACAGAAGTTACTGTCATCTTGCTTTCTGTAGACTCTATGCACAGCTTTCCTTTGTAGAATGAATTATAGGCTGTAGCAACTGCTATTAATACAACAGATACCCTATAGCATTGTTCCAGTTTCATCTGTCACTTAGTCACACCTCTTGCAATCTCATTGTTGCTCATGTCTCTCAGAATTTTTCCTGTGTGCAGGGGGAAAAAAAAAGTGCCATCAGACTGACACTATAGAAGGTGATGGCTTAGCTCTATTTTCAGCTTGTCCGACCTTCTCTTGCATGTGAGGTTTTCATAAAGCAGTTGCACCAAATACAACACACCTTGTTTGTGAATATTTGTTCTTTAAATACAATCCCCAGTTACAGTTCTATAGCATTGGATTACAAAGTAGTGAAAAAGGGAAACATTTCTTTAAACGACTTGTGCATGAGATTATTCTTACCGATTGCTAGATTGTCATAGTCCCCATTGGATACTGGCTATTCTGGAGGAAACAAACGTGACTTCTGCTCATGTACACTGCATTCCTTCACGCTTATGCCTTGGCAATCTTACCCTCAATATCTAGGCTTCTGCATTCCCCTCTAGTGGGTTATGATTGCAGACCACTCTATTTCAGAAGAATAGCATGCCTCCCATGTTCTTGAAATTTTGTGAGTTATACAGTTTACTCTGATACGATTCTTCCCTTTTATTCTCTTATCACTCGTGCCTGCTGATGTGGTGTACCCTACCATGCAAGGAGTATCTTCTCCGAGTGACTGATTCATGTAACTTGAAAACAAGCTAACTGCAAAAAGGGCTTTCTGTGGCACTTGCGGGTGCATTTTATGGCTCAACAACTATTCTTTCCCTTGCATTAAGACAGAAGGGAATCAGCAATACAGCTGAAAAAAATCATCCCTCCCCAAAAAAATGGAATTAACAAACCCCACCCTATAAATATGGGCAACATGGGAAATTTGATGTGACTGTCTTGAACTTTGTGAAACGATAGATCCTGAATTGTGGAAGTTAAAATGCTCTGTAAAGGCTTATCTCCAGTGAACAGTGAAAACTGAGAAAGTTGAGAACAAATTATTGTGAACCAAAGTGTTTATTTTCCAAGTTAAGGGATTAAGGAATTTGCTCCTCTGAATAGCTAAGCTTTTCTAACTTAATGGCTTTCATTCATACAACCATATTCTCTGGTCTGAGTTTGTTGTGGTTATAAATATGAGCTAAGCTAGTCAATGAGAATAATTAGACTTTGCTAAGCAAGGAAGGTGGGAGGGAGGGAAATAAGTAAGATACTACATGCAGCTTGTAGTTTAGATTTTTATGCTATATCCTGTTGGGGGAAGAAAGCCTTCATCATGATGACTTGTTTCTTTTGATGAAAACAGGCTTTAAACACATGCCAAACAATGGCGACCTTATCTCCTTTCCACATACATAGAAACAATGAGTTTGTCTCTTTTCTTACTGGATTTTTTTTTTGATCCATGCTTATATCTAATCTCAATTTCTCAGAGGAAGTTGAGAAGCTAAACTGTCAAGTCGCAGTATATTCGATATGTGTGTGATATTAACATCTTGCTTTGGAAAACAGTATCTTAATGCCATGGATTTATGCCTCAAGAAAAAAAAGAATTCAATTTATGTGAGAAATGGGTAGAAACCTTTCACTGGGACCGTGATTGCTTAAGGGCTAGATTCTTCTGCTGCTGAAATGCTTAGCTTTCACAAGAAGTCAGAAAATTTAATCGGCATCTGTGTGAGACAGCAAAGCAGTTGATGTTGCATCTCATAAGAAGAAATTTACTGAAGTACTTGTCTCAAGAAACCAATTAAGGTAAAATAACCATCTTAGCTGCAAAAATCAAGCAGACGGTTCTTTTAGCAAATCTAAAGGGAAATAGAAGAATCTTAATCACTTAAGGTAGGTTGAAGTTGTGCGTATGACATGCCTAACGTGCAGTAACAAAGATTCACTGCTATAGGTGTATTGCTGAAATATTTTTCCAAGTCCACCAAGATTAAACGCAGTGCATGAGAGTATTTGCTGCAGTTGGGTTTGCTAAAGACATCAGTGCATTAAAACCGTGGGTAGGAAGTGGTTCAGAGACTTCCTATGTTCTCAGTGTTATTTTTATTAACAAAAGTGAATAGATCTTGTTTTTATTTTGGCATTTAATTGTGATAACACATAGCTTTGTTTAAGTAAAAGTGTATAATATGGTGTATTACACGTGTACAGAAGATATTTCAGTGCTAATCTAGTTAATACGTGAAGTTCTGGTATGTGCTATGCCAAGTTCCTATTGAAAACAACACACAGCATCTGTACAACTTCTAAAGAACAGAAAAACATAATTTTTTTTGTCTGTTTTCATTAATTGTATTATCCCCTACACTACCAAGTAAGTATCCTGTTTTGGGCATCTGTACTTGTCCCTCTATTCTAAAGTTACCATAGTACCTTTCTTTTCAGGGCAATTAAACTGGTGCACTGTCAAACAGCAGAATTTCCCCTTTTCATATGTGTTGGACTATTGTGCTGACAGCTTCATGCTATCCATAGTATTTATGATGGAGAAGTTTCTGATTTTCTGATAGACTTTGGCATTAACAGCCCATCTGTGTTGCTAGCTGATAGAAAAAAACCATCAAGCTAGAAAAAAAAAAATCCTCTCTCCTGGCACTAATGGCTTTTGTTCAGGCCTGCTTTGTAATCTCTTTACTAATGCTCTGCAAATCTGGGCATATACACAACATATCCACAACAACATGTACAAGATCCTGTCTGTGTAAACAGCGAGTGTCTAAGAACTGAAAAGCACTTCTCTAGTGACATCAATGACGTGTGTACGTGTATGCATAACTTTAAGGAGAACGTGGGCAAGGAGAAGATGGCAGGTAACTGTTCTTCTCCAGATGGGCTCTTAGTGAAGAACTCTCTGAGCAAGTGGAAGCTGCTGTAGGGAGCGTTTGAAAGGCGGATGCCTAATTTATTTGGTTAACAACTACTTAGGGACAATAGGAGAGGCTGTCCTAACAGCTTTCAGTAAAATTCGGTGATGATGGTGTTAACTCCAGTGACTTGTGGTGGTCTCAGAAATTACAACAAAAATGGGTTCCTCATGCTTTCGAATGTGGTATTTCATTAAAATAAAACCTGCCCTTTCTCACTTCCCTTCTTATTTGTGTTGTCTCCACGGTTATTAGTGGCATACAACATTTCTGTTTGGGTTTTTGTCAGTCTCGCAGACAGTAGGTGTGGCCCACAGTAAGGAAATGTACCTCTTGAAGGACCGAAGAAGTGGATCGTAACTCAAAATTCTTTTTCAACCCAAATATTATCTTAGAATTTTTTGTGATAATGTTTTTTATATTTTTAGTGAGTATAAAAATGTCTTACTGATTCTAGTCAGTATTGGCTTTGTGGCTGTTCCGAGAACAGAATTGCATGATTGTTCTTCTAATGAGACGTGTGGTTTTTCAAGACTGTGTGGAGTCATACATCTACAATTGATAGAAATAGGTGGGCCTCAGAGAGAGCTCTAAGGCTGAGAAACTTCCCAAATAGTTTAGCCTAAGTGATTTGGAATGAGAGGACATATGACTTCAGGACACCTTTATAAAGAAAACTGTGAATGAAATCTTTAGATGCACAAAGGTAAGTTTGGTTGGGCTACTTAGCGTTTTCTTAGTACTCTGCAAATTACCCACAAAGTGCGTGCTTTTCTTCAAAGTGCATTTTGAGATATCTATGTAGGCTATGTGTTGTTATAAAAAACAAAATAACTCCATAGTGCTTATATGTTCTAGGAAGCTGTTTGGTCACAGTGAGTACAAACTAGTACTTCCCTGATCGTCATTAGGGATGTTGGAAGAACTCTAACATGTTTATGCCTTCTTAGATTTTTTCAGATGACTATGAAAACTGCTTTCTTGTAAATACTTGGTTCAAAACTGGTCAAGCTCTAAGACCTGATGATACCTCTATCTGATTTAAAGAAGAAATTTGTAACTTTAAATTGTAATCTTCTGCACTTTAACTTACTAAACTAAGTTGTAACATTGAATGATGCCTACTCGAGAGGTTTGGAACAGTAAAAACTATTCATATCATAATTCTGCATTAAGGGTCCTGGTTTCTTACAGCAATTGTGTTTTTTAAAGAGATGGTTTTACATAATCACTAAAACATCTGAGCTCCACGGTCTGAGCTGTGCATTTTGCTGCGGATGAAAGATTTCCCTAGCTTTTATTTATGCAGGAAGGTGCCATTTGATACTCTGTAGAAGACAGTCTAGAAAACCTCAGTCTGCCTTTAGAAATGAGCCTATAAAATAAAGGGTGTTGCCAAGCAAAGTTTTCTATAACAGATTTTAGAAAACTGCAGAATATTCCATTCTGGGAAGAACATCTAATGGGATTTAACTGAGGTAAAGGAAAATTTCTAAAAGATGCGCTAAAAACATTATTGCGGTCTGTGAAACAGAATAATGGATGCCTCCATGAGTCTTTCAAAGCAGTAAATTTACAGTCTGTATTAAGCAGGACTCTAATATACAGATATTCTGCTGAGTTTCTGGAAGTAGTAAATCCAAGACTGTGGCTGGATTTTAAACATTAACTGAAATAATCAAGGTTCCTTGAATTCTTACAGGAAAAAACTTATTTCAAACAGAATAACTTTGTCAGATCTAGAAACCAGTTACTTAGTTCTGGTTTAACAATATGCCACTTTACTTGTTTTATTTACAGAGTTCCTAGTTGTGGTAAGGGTGCCATTTTTATTGACTTCAGCCCTAGTGATAATAGAATTGCATTCCTGAGGTTTCTTATGTAGATTATCTGAAAATACCCTGAGGATTCCCAGGAGATTGTTGCCTCGTTGCCTAGCTTATCAGATTCCCTATGGATATGTTTTTCAGTTACGGGCAGAAAGTAAGCAAGAATATTAAAATAATGAATTTATGGCAAAGCAGTGTATCTGTTGCCGCTAATTTTCTTTCTCCCTCAAAGTCAATTTGTACTGTCTTTACATGTTGAATATGCAATAGCTCTGCAGCAACAGAAAGGTGAATATGTAAAGTTCCGGTGCAAATTTAATGTAACATGTTATGAATGGCAATTTTCTTTCAACAAACCCTTACTAGGGATCTTCCTGCAGGTTTTTCACATTCAGTATGTATTACCAGTTTACTTCTGTAATTGTGGTATTTGCTTGCATCTGCTGAAGATGCAGGGATAAAGTGGGAATGATCGGATTTTGTCCAGCAGTGGCATTGTCTATGTGACTTTAAGTGACATTTCTTGGAAGATCTAACGTGGAGAAGCAACTTGAAGACAAAACTTCTGCATACTTCTGTGGAATTTTGAAATCTCCAGGTTAATTGGGTTTCTACTCTGAATTTTTGTTCTTGAGTCCTACTGCCGTAGAGCTGTAAAACACAGATGTTAAGTACTGAGAAGCATAGTGAATGGGGAAAACGTGTGGAAGTCCTGGTCTGGAATTTTCTAAAGAATGACAAAGTCTCCCTGCTCCAGCAAGCAACCTGCGGTCCTGTTCTTGGTAATATGGCATGTTATTACTTGTCTTTCCCTCATGCTATTGTTACGCTGGGTTGGAAAGCACTGTAAATATGAAAAGCAACAGATGGTCAGGCCAAGTTCACAGGTTAGGAGTTCTGAAAGCACATACAGGTACAACAACCTTAAAAACCCATGTAAAGAGGGTCCACCAATCTTACTCTTTCAATGTGAAGTTTTATTATTCCTGTCACACGTTTTCCTCGCCCTTGCTTTCAAAAATCTAATAAAACATTAAAATTCCCATTCCCTACATGCTCGTTTCTTGTCATTCTTTCTTGATGAGAACCTGTATCGCACAGACAGAAAAAAATCTACCTAACTCAATCCTTTAAATACAGGACTTAAGAAAGAAGATGATTTCTTTGTGTGTTTTCTCTGCCCCTTTAGAGGACAGTGTTCAAATAGCATACTCAAGTTACTATGTTCGCAATATTAACAATAAAGCCTCTTTGCTATGGAATGAGTGACTAAATGCAGATCTGCAAGTACATGTCTGCTAAATCCAAAGTAACTGTAGCTCTTCTGTTAAACTTTGCTAACTTCATCTATATGGTATGAAACCACTGATAAAGCATGTTATCTGTTCACATTGACTTTTTAAGGCTCCATTAAGTTGCTGGAGTGCAGTATCTTTCTATAAATACGAGATCTTTGCAGTCACAGACTGCGGGCTTTGTTAGCCTTTCCAGATCTTGAGCCAAAAATAAGCTGGTGAAACAGATGGGAAAGTGGGAAGCTGGAATTACTATATGGGCAAAGTGAAAGGTCTTGGGTAATCTTAACTGCAAATTTTCATGCTTTCAAGCACTTCCTTTGAAATGAAAATTTATATCTCTAATACCATTTATTTATATCTCTACCATTCTTATGGTTTTGTACGTGTAACCTTGATGTTAGAAGGTTTTTATATTTTTGGATTTGTAAATTTGATGATATTAAAGGACAATTAAATGCCTTTTCTTGGTTATACTAAGATTTATAAATCAGTCATCTGTCATTACTGATACAGCTTGCTTCTGCTTTTGTCAGTAGATGATTATAGATGATGAGCTATAAAAAGCAGACAAAAGTTTCTTTAATTGAAAAAGCAAAGTGAGGGAGAGAAACCTTTGTTCCTTTTAACCTGATATTAATTTTACTTGTAGTGCTTGCTTATGCTTTTTCAAGCATTGCAGAAATAAGTTTTCCAGAGATACAGTTTTAAAAAGGGGTTTTTTATTATTAAGCACTATACAGTCCAGCTTTTGTTTTCTGGTCATGAACTTTGTTAGACAAAATGTGATTTTTTTATGTTTTGATCAATTAAAAAATTACAGGAGTAAACTTAGTGTCATCTTCTAGGCTTGTATATTCATCTGATAAAAATCTTAAAGAAGCTGAGGAGCTGGCTATGATGAAAAAAGTAATGGAACCCAAGTTAATACAAGAAAACAACATTGCTACTCTTCAGAACACTCAAAAAAACGTAAATTGTCTTGGAGATGGCAAAAGAACACCTGTTGATCAGAACACTCCAACTGGAGCTGTGCAGAAAGAAGTTGCTTGTTCATCTTGTATTGAAGAGGAAATTCCAGAAGTAGTCATTGATGCAGAAAGCAACAAAGCCACTGCAGGTAGGTTTGGAATTATACTTTTGTTTGGTTATTTTTTGTTTATTGGTTGGTTTTTTTAATAATTATCCAGTGACTTATACAGATGTAAAAATGCAGGCAAAGATTAAAGCTGTTGTTATAACACAGCTTACATGGATATTCTTTGCTATGGTCTACCTCGTTCTCTCACACTTTGAAAAAATGAATTGCTGCAGAAGTTTGGCAGGAGCCCTTCCCAGCCAATGTGTAGCATAATAAATCTGACAGGACTAGCCGGGAGTCAGGCACGTTCATCAGCGTTTTGTCCCGTCTTTTCTCTGTAACACAGCAAACTTGAGTCCTCACCACCTGGGACTTCCACAGAGCAGAATCTCTCCATTCCTTTCCTTTTCTAGCAAATTACACTAGTTCCACTGTTGTTTTATGAGGATTTTGGAACCTTTCAGAATCTTCCCTACTACAACCGTGAATGAAATAAGTAACACAGGGAAACGTGTAACTGCATCTACACCAGAGGTGTTGGCTGCTACAGCTGTGTCAGTAAGATAGGATCAAGCAACAAATCTGTTCAGGCAGAAGCTTGTAGCACTACATGACCCTGAACTTCTTCAGACTCTACTTTTCTTTAATGCAGAGGTACCAGATCTCTGTAGAAAAAATGAACTGGCTACATAATCTTACAAAAGAATAACTGTAGCACTTCTATAGATATCAAATATATGAAGCATTGGTCAAATTCCCGATACCTCAAGCCAAAATGAGAAGTAAAGTGCAAGGTCTGGAAAACCTCTCAAGGAAAATTCTAGCTTGAATATGCAATATTAAAAATTTTCATTATGTCAGGTTCTTCTTTTCAAATATTTTAAGTTGTCTGTGTACTGTCAGTAGTCTGGACTACACCGGACAAAGTGAAAATAGCTATTTCTCCCCATCTGCAGGTAATTCCAAACTAGAAGCTGCATCTGTGTTAGGAGAAGACTTACTGATGCTCTACAAGAAGTGCTGTTGTCCAGATATTAATATTTGCATAGAAGGCAAAGATTTTCAAGCTCACAGGTACATAAGTATTTACTATAGTTTTTCAACCAAAGTTCTTCTAGTGTAAAACACTGCTGGTACTGTATATCTATAGTAAGTTATTGCTGATGCTGTTATCTAGCTGTGAACCATTACAGTTTTTAGGTCTTACGTGCAAAGTGGCCATACTTTGACACTAATGAAAATTATTTATCTCATTAATGGCAACTATTGTGAAAACAATTGCGTTTTTAGCACTTCTAAGATTGCCATTGTAAACTCATATAATGAGTATATGCTTGTGTATAAATACTGTGTAGGTTTTCTTTGCTAACCTTTTTTTAAATAATCTGAGCTCTCCAATAATAATCTATTAATAAACTATTCAGCTATTAATGCTGAATAAAATTACCATACAGGTAGAAAACTTCTGGAGTAGTAATTTTTTTTTTTCTGCTCTTCAGAATCTGCGCATACAGAATCTGATTTTACTTTCATTGCTTCAGTCATGTAGATGTAAAGATTGTCAGCAGCCTTTACTAGATCTAAAGTCCGAGACCATTTAAGAACTTTGGCTTTTTGGTCTTCTGTACCTTGGAAAAGCAATTAAAGCATCAGTACCGTTCCTTGTACCTTTGATTTGAGTCTGTTTGCACTTGACATAGCAAACTAGACAGCCTGTATTTTGTTCCCTTTGAGTATGTAACTAACTGAGAGAGATTATAAAAAAC